GGAGGTTGCTGTGAGCTGTGAAGCTACGGCACTCTACCCAGGGGGATAGCTTGAGGCTCTGTCTCAAAAAAATAAAAATAAAAATAAATTTTAAAAAATCCACAGGTGCACAAAAATAACAAGGGAAGAAAATAAACATGTTATCAAGTCATTGCTAGGGGAAGGCATTATGGGTGTTTTCTCTTCTTTATGTTTACACATTATTTGCTTGGCCAAACTTTAGTCAGGTTCCTTAGCCTCTCCTAGACTCATCTGTTTCATCTGTGCACTTCCTCAGAAAATGCAGTTTTCACAAAGAATTCTACCCAGCAAGAACTTCTACTTAGCAAGAACTCCCCACCCTTGATATTTTATTACCCTTGATGTCTGATCAGATTCCTCATCAGTCACCATTCCCCAGATGATGTCTGATCGCCCCAGCCTGACCTCAGGAAGAATCCTGTTAGGTTGGATTAGCCCAAATCCTCCTTACCCCTGATGTTTCCTCTTAGTAATTTTCCATCCACTTACCCCTACCCTGGTCCTTGGTTACAAATTCCCAGCAGCCCGTGCTGTATTGGAAATTGAGCCCAAACTGTCTCCCCCCACTGCAAAATCCCATTGCCATGGTCCCTATATCTATCACCATGGTCCTGAATAGTCTCCTTATGGTGCTTTGACAAATGTCACTGAATAATTTTTTTAACAAGATCTTTACCCTACATTTAAAATTTTCTACAATTAATATATTATTTTGTCAGAAATATAATTTTTAAATAGCAAATGGATACAAATTAGAGTCCCTGAGTGTTGAAGGATCTGGGGCAGCAGTGAGGTGCAGTATGGCTGCCAACACCTTCAGCAGTAGGTGCGTGTGGCCCCTGAGACTGACTACCAACTCTTGGGTGCCTCTCCAAACGTCTGGAGTGGAATTAAATTCCAAAAATTAAGGTGTTGGGTTATTTTTCTATACTGGGCTTAAATCTAGGGACACTGTTATAAAGGCCATACCATGCCAGCAAATCCCCATGGTTCATAAACTAGTACACCATTTCCTTTTCCACTTCTTCTTAGTTATTTTTTTTTTCTGCTAGTGAAATCTGAGACTGAGGGGAGAAGAAAATATCTTATAATGGTGACTATAATTTGGGATTTGTAAAGGCAAATACTGGCAACATTTAGCTAATAGGATGTTATTTACTGTTCTTGCTGTTGAGGAAAAAAAAGGTTGTAC